GTGATTGGCCTATGCAAGGCCCTGTGCTCCATCCCCAGCCCACAAGAATGGGTGCTGACAAGCCTTGCCCTTTGTCCTAGGGGAGACAGGTTCAGTGTGATGCAGCTCCAATGGGACCTGAAGCCTCAAGGACTCTGACAACTGACTGAGAGTCTAGAAGCTTCCACTGAAGTGTGCGTATGTTATGGGGAGCTACCTGTCATTTATTCTGTGTGTTCAGAAGCTGGCACAGGTGTGTGGCATGTGGCTAGGGTGAAGCCAGCCATGTAGGTAGACCTGGATTTGCCAACAGGCACAAAAGTGCCTTTCAACGGGGCCCTCCTCAGCCTTTGTCACCAGCCCATGGGCCTCACCTAGGTATGCGCCATGGTTTTTCAGCTCCTCGGGGAACTCCTTAAGGTAGGACTCTCGGTGAGGAATCACCTTGCCTGCACTGGTCTCCTTCAGTACCGCCCCGTTCCAGTCGTAGGCTCCCACAGCTCCCAGTAGGATCCCATCCTGGCACCAAGGAAGGACATGGCATCAGACTCTATTTCTAGGGACCCCTTGCTGAAAGCACCCAGGTCTTGCAAACTCTGAGGCACCATGAGTCACCCGGGGTACCTCTGCCAGGGTGCTGACATAGAAACTCAGCTTCCAGCTGGGGCTCTTGACTTGCAAACAAGCCCTGAGACCATCGTGCTCCATCTCATCCTTAGCACCAAATGGGTCAAGTTGGCCTCAAGGGTGGGAATTTAAAAACAGATAAAGGAACATTCTAGAAATAAACTCCAAACCCAGGACAAGCCTTCCACATTTCCTTGGGCTTTTAAAGCACTCAGGTTTCTTGTTACCTTCCCACCCCACCACTCCCCCAAGCCTTGCTGTCCACAGGGGACTGACAGCCTTTTGGGGCGATTGCAAAGGCCCAGAGTCAGATGAAAGGCAGTTTCACTTTCTAGGAACAGAGAGCTGTAGGGCAGAAGCAGAGTGGATCGAGTCAGGTTGTGCAGAGAAGCCAGGGTCACAGAGTTTATTTCTTTACTGGCTTGGAGGGTGTCTCTTGCCACACCCTTCAGCTGCAGGACAAGTGCATGCTGCCACGCCTTTGTATAAGACAGGAAGTGTCTATATTCCTGACTCTCTGGTCATTTACTGAGAACTGGGTCCCTGTACCCTCCTCACCTCTAGTGTGAACGGCTCACATGACTAGTGGCCACAGGAAGGCAGACAGCAAGCACTGATGGGGGTGGGAATAGTGCCTGGACAGCAGTGCAGGAAGAGGCTGGTGAGGATAGTAGCGGGGGGGGGGCTCCCACTCCCTTCCCCCACCATGCCTGGGAGATTCAGGAGAGGGGCAGCTACCATGTATGTATCTTAGCTTTGGGCTTTAATTTTCTTTTACAAAAAGGGGTTCTCTTTGTTTAAGGGGTTGGGAGGATGGCTCAGTCAGTGAAGCGCTTGCTTTGCAAGCCCAAGGACCCGTGTTCGGTCCTTAGGACTTATGTGAAAAACAGTTGAGCAAGAAGGCACGTGCCGCAGACTCAGTGCTGGGGAGGCAGAAGCAGGTGGTCCAGGCTTGCTGGCCGGCCAGCCTGCCATACTTGGTGAGCTTCAGGCTAGTGGCAGACTCCTCCTCAAAACAAACGACAACAACAGAAAAAAATGTTGAATCCTGGGGTTGCTCCCTGACTTCAATGTACCCAGGATATGGCTCAGTGGTAGAGTGGTTGCCTGGCACGGGCAAGCCCTGGGTTCCATTCCCCGCACCATAGAAACTGAGCATGATGGTGCACACCTATAATCCCAGCACTCGGGTGGTGGAGGCAGAGGGATCTAAACTCAAGGTTACCCTTGGTTACATAGTGACTTTGAGGTTAGCCTAGGCTCTATGAGATTCTTACTCGTGTGTGTGTGTGTGTGTGTGTGTGTGTGTGTGTGTGTGTGTGCGCGCGCGCGCGGTGATAGAACCCAGGGCCTGATCAGTGCTAGCCAAGCACTTTGCCAGCAGCAGCTTTGGACTTTTGCAGTATGGGCAGGTGAGGTCACTCCCCCCTCTCCAACCCTCCTTGAGTGTAGCTGGCTGGCTGGATTCAAAGATCCCCTGGCATTTCAGAGACACAAGTTGATCTTATCCAACAGTTGAAAAGGCCAGTTCTCTGGAGGGCGAGCTTCCCATGTGGAAAGTGTTTGCAACTATAAATAGGTTGTCCTGGGGAGTGCCTGATGCCCTGTCATGTTCAGAGTCTAATGTTCTAATTAGCTCCCTGCTCCACTCAGCTGGGAGGCACTGACAGTGGGCTGGACCAAGACTGAGTTCCGGAACTCAAATTCCTGTTGTCCACTGTCACTGCCAACATTCTCGATTTAGGAGGATACTCCTTCCTGGTGGAGCACTTTCTCATCCAGTCCCAAACACCCTCTCCCATGGGAGCCCATAGGGGCCCTGGGAGGGGGCAAACTGTTCTTATCTGCACTTGAGGCTCAGAGAGAGGCAGTAGCTTTCCCGAAGTCAGAGGCAGGGCTGGGTCTTTGGACAGAGGGTGGGTGGGGCGTCAATAAAAGCCTCCACAGTTCTCCCAAGTCCCATGAGGCTCCTGGTTTTCTACCTGAGCCCCTCCAGGAGGAGGGCCGTCCTTTCTTCCCATCGGCTTGCCCAGTCCAAGTTTGTGGCTGCACGCTAGACTTGTTGGCTTCTGGAAAGGTGCTGTGGCTTTGCTGACAGCAGGGACCTCTGGTGTGCTGAGAAAGGCCAGCTCCACCCAGGGGCTTAGCCCTGCAGAGGGGGCCCTTTCCACCCTCCCTGTGTGGAGATGAGAGTTGCCCTGGACTTCAGGAGTGAGGAGCCAGGCGAGCTCCCATCCCACCTATGCCGTTGTACCCTGGCCACAGATGGACCTTGGGTCCTCAGGGGGAGACCTTTCCCCAAAGTGGCTAAGTTGGGGACAGGGGTCCTAGGAAGTGTATATGTGAAGGCCATCAAAACAAATCTCCCCAGGTCATAGTCTTTTCCCAGCTGAGGAGTTCCCAGGCATCCAGAATTTGGGGGAAAAATCTAGAATATCCATGGGAAAAAGGCCAGTACTTTCGTGGGGGAAGCCAGGCATGGGGCCCAGCTGGGAAACGACAGTGAAACATCTGGGGAAGACTGGCATCTGGCATCCCATGTTGCTTCATGGGCATGTCTGGATTCCCTGACTTATGGCCTCCAGGCCACTGTAGATTTATGGGGCCACTGAGCTTGCATGACACAGCCTATTAACTCTGCCTGGGTGGCCTTAACTACAGGGACAGTTCCAGAGAATATCTAGGGTCCTGGCTTTTGACTGGGGTAGTTTTGTCTCCCAGGTCATACTTGGCAATATCCGCAGACATTCTTGACCATCTCAGTTCAGGATTCGGGTAGGATGGTACTGCAGAGGGTCAAAGTGGTGTTCCTCCCATGGAAACCTTATAGCAAGAGTTCTCTAGGACATCCCACAACTGGGTGTCAACTGTTTATAATTTCCTCCAAGCCCTTGGAGCCCTAGACTTGGTTTCTTGGGAGACAGCTATAGTTCTCACAGGACTGCTGTTTTGATAGTTTGTAGGTTGATTTTGGGTGGCAAGGTTCATTTATGATTCCTTTTGGTACTTAGGCTGCATTTCAATCAATGCTCCCTGTATTTCATGAAGTTGTGTCTTCTTTCTGTGTTCGGTTCTCCCTCTGCCTTTTCTGTGTAGTGGGTGCATGCATGTAAGTATGCAGGAGTGTGTGCCCATGCAAGTGCCTGTGCATCTGGAGGCCAGACCAGACTATCAGACGTCTTCCTCTGTCACTATTAACCTTACTGCCTTGAGACCGTCATCTCTCACTGAACCGGAAGCCTATCACTTGGCTAGGAACGCTGGCCAGTGAGCTCTCGTGATCACCCATCTCTCTTTCCCAATGCTGAAGTTACGGGAGTATGCAGGCATGCCTGGTTTTTAATTGGTGCTGAGTATTTAAAATCAAATCTTTATTTTTGCCCTGTCCCCAGAGACAGTACATCAGGGATATATTGAGCAGGGATTGGCTGCCTGACTTCATGCAAATGTAAGCTCATGCCTCCTGGTGGCCCAGGTACCCCTCTGCTTCTCCTGCATCCCAGCAATAAGAAGGCACAAAAAAGACCAGTGGACATAGCCACCTAAATCAGGATCACTGTCACCACTAGCAGACTTCACAGGGCTCTTTTGAGCATGAAATGAGGTGCAGAGACCCCTGGGGGAAGTTTACAGTGCTGTGCATCTGGCCAGGAGATGCTGGGATGGTGGGACACCCATACTCACATCTTGCTACATTCACTGCAGTAGAACTGATACTGTACAGATGTGGCCTGGAAAAATCTGAGCCTAAGCCACATTTCCTAACATCTGCCTGCTGCTTGGCGTGCAGCAGGGATCTCTGACTCAGAGCTCCTGGGAGCCCCTCTTGGAGCAGCTGCTGGCTGCAGAGGGAATAGCTCACACAGTCCTTGTTCACATCACTTCAGTCTCAGTTCACCTAACCTTGCTGTGAATCCATTCTTTACCTGCAGCGTGGGAACCAGGAGTCCTGCCCTGTCCACATCACAGAAGGGTTCAGAGGATATGGTGGGGTGACAGGAATGTGTAATCAATCATTATGGGCCTGCAGACCTTTTCGGGAAACCATATAGTGATACCCCAGTGTACACACACACACACACACACACACACACACACACACACACACACGCACAGGCATGCACACACGCACACGCACGCATGCACACACATGCAAAGCCAAGACACCTGTTGTCTGAAGCATACCTGGAGGAGCATGCAATGATATAGACTCTTGGGGTTGGCAGGCTTCCCACATGGAATTCTCAGGACTTGACAATTTATTAAATGTTTCCTCAAAACACTGACTTTGTCCCTTGGTGAGGTTCCAGGCTCCCTTCTGAGTCAAGTCTCAGGTGAACATGGCCCATGACCCCACATGCTGTTAGTGACCCTGTAGCCTTTCCTTTGTTCAGGACACACCGGGGACTGCTGAAGTCCAGGGCAGAGTATGAACAGAGATGGGTGTTGCAGCCACCTTCTGGAGCTGGAGCCAACGGACACCTTCCCAACATGGATGCGGGCCCTGCCCCAGTTCGCAGAGGTCACCTCAGACACTGAAGCTATCAAGTACTTGCTGTTGATTTTGCCATTTGACCTGATTGCGTAAGTTTTTATGGATGGAATGAGACTTCCGGCCCTGGGAGGCACTCCCCACCCCCCACTCTGTTTCTTGTCTGAGTGTGCGTGTGTATGAATGTGTGCGTGAGTGTGTGTGAATGAGTGTGTGTGTGTGTGTGTGTGTGTAAAACATGTGTAGTGAGCTGACTTCTGAAGCAGGCAGGAGACAATAGAAATGAGTTGAAAACCTTAATTTTCAGCCGGGCGGTGGTGGCGCATGCCTTTAATCCCAGCACTCGGGAGGCAGAGGCAGGCGAATCTGTGAGTTCGAGGCTGGGCTGGACCGACAGCCTCAAAAACAATACAGAGAAACCCTGTCTTGTAAAAACCAAAAAAAAAAAAAAAAACCACCTAATTTTCCCAGTCCAGTCCTTAGAAGATTCTAGGAGGCAGAGAGACATTGAGAAAGACACGAGAGAGCCATAAAAGGTGGGATGACAGACAGACCTGGATGAGTAGGAAAAGACAGAGGGAGTGGGGAGGGAGGAATGAGAGGGCTCTGTACCTCTACCACATGTGAGGAAAAGCCTGTCTGCGACATCTCCAGTCCAAAAGAGGTTTCGTTCTTGTTGGTGCCTAAAACAGGAATGAGAAGATGTTAACTCTGTGCATCACTGGTTAGTCCTGGGGCATCTTGGGAACTGGGGTTCTTTTCTGAGAGGGCCGTGAGGTGCACTGCCTCATCATCACTCTGCTATTGGGTATTAACAATCAAAGTGCGAGCGTGTGTGTGCATGCATGTACATGAGTGTGTGTATATGTGTGTGTATGTGTGTATGTGTGTGTACATGTGTGTGTGTGTGTGTGTGTGTGTACATGCAGGGTTACTCAGTTCTGCAAAGAGCCTGGGATAAGCCATGTTGCAGAACATGTGCACTACAAATGACTGTTAAAGTGTATGTGTGGTGGGGGGCATCAAACAGAAATGTGTGAAATTCACGTGTGTTTTGGGAAAGATGTGTTGTTTCTTCATTCCCATTGGTCACAGGTTCCTAAGCATTAACGGAGTGGATTCACACAAGACAGGCCATGTGTGCTGAAGGCCCACTCCACAGAGGGCCCTTGAACAAGCCATCAGAACTGTATTCTCCATCACAGAAGGCGACTGACTTCATAGGGGAGACCGCTGGATTGACCCTGTGAATTCCAGACCGTGTCAAAGCCTAAGCTTGGAGAGCCATCGTGTCTGTTCATTGTCATCTCAACACATTTCCAACTTCTCAAACTCTGGGATACTCATTGCCTCTTATTTCTTTCCACACCCCCTCTCCAGATGCTGGGAGCCCCACATGAGAACGGTCCACCACAGAAATACACAGTAAGAATGGGATCTCTGCAAATTGGATTCTTTGCTGTGCTCTCCCACATGCTGCTCTGCTGGGAAATTAAATCGTGTTCTTATTTTTTGAAACAGGGTTTGTTATAGCCCAGACTGACTATGTAGCTGAGGGTGACCTGATTCTGTATCTCCTGCCACAGTCTCCCGAGGACTGAGGTCACAGGCAAGCACCTTAGGCCTGGTTTTAAGCCTTGAGGTTGAGGCCAGGGTTTCATGCATGCTAGGTAAGTGCTCTCCCAACTGAGCTACATTCACAGCCTCAAACTACAGTTTTGATTTTCACAAAGTGGTAGAGTGAAAATCTGCAGGTTCTGTGAGAATATGTAGGGCCTGTGTCAGGAAATGGAGCCAGGCCTGCTGGGTTCAAACTGGGGTTGCCAGATAAAATATAGAGTAGCCTGTGAAATCTGATCTAAGGGAAACAATGCATAATTTTTCAGAGTAAGTCTGTCATAAGCACTTTTATTATATGTTTGCTAAGTCTGGCAACTCTAGTTCAAACATGCCCTCTCCCAACCAAGGTCCTCAGTAGTCAAGCAACAGAGTCACAGAAAACCCAGCCCAGTTAGACTGCACACAGAGTGGTGCCCAGCAGTGGGCAGTTGGGTCACACAATGGTTTTTGCTAAGCCACTGTGCTCTGTGAAATTATAGTCCTTGGGCAGAGGTGTAAGCCCATGAGCCCGTCAGTCACCTTCCAAGCTGAAGATCCTGTCCCCAAGGGCATCAACAATGTCCTTCAGGGCCGCCTCATCTGTGACATTGAAGAAGTGCTTGTCGTCAGGGTCGCTGGCGATGTATTTGATTTCATTTAGAAAAGTTTCTGGATTGATCCCTCTGCGGTTGTAGTAGCCCAAGACCTGCCAGGGAACAGGGGCAGGGACAACAAACCAGGACATAGTACTGACTTCTCCACGCAATTCACAGCCCTCAACCCCAAGGACCCGGAGGTGGGCTACAGCCATGAGCCTTTCTCAAGGTGCCACTGGCATTTAAAACAGATATTCTTTGGGGTTACCCAGATAAGACCCTATAGATTAGCTGGGGTTCTGGAATCTGGGAGGATTTTTGAGCCTTTCTCAAGGCGCCACTGGCATTTAAAACAGATATTCTTTGGGGGTACCCAGATAAGACCCTTGAGATTAGCTGGGATTCTGGAATCTGGGAGGATTTTTGAGCCTTTCTCAAGGCGCCACTGGCATTTTGAAAAAGATATTCTTTGGGGGTACCCAGATAAGACCCTTGAGATTAGCTGGGGTTCTGGAATCTGGGAGGATTGGAGGGGGCCTTTCTATTATTTTGAGACTTCCTGGCAAAAGAAGGAAAATGTAATCCCACACATTTCTGCATACACATGTACAACGTTAAGAATCAACTTAAAAACAAAGGAAACCCCAGCTGGCTCAGAACTTGGCATGCAGCCAAGGATGACCTTGGATTTCTGCTCCTCCTGCCTTCACTTCCTGGTTCTGGGATTGCAGGCGTGCACCACCATGGCTGGTATTATACGTCGCTGGGATGGGACCCAGGGCCTGATGCACATTCAGCTTGTTCTTCAGAGGAGGGCACAGCTTGTTGTGTCTTTGCTAGGGAAGCAGCTCCTGGAATTCCCCGGGGCTTTGAGGGCAGAGCCTCTGAGAGCAGCCAACTGCCCCAGGGCAGGGGCAGGACTTACAGCCACTGCATAGCGGGTCACGTTGTCCTTCTCACTTTGCCGGATCACCTTCTCCAGGTCTGGGCTGTCATGGGATTCCCCGTCGGTGATGACAATCATCACTTTCTTGGCCCCTTTCCTTCCACCCTTCTGGAAAGCCTCTGAGCTGGAAGTAGAGGCAGGGGTGAATCAGAAGAGGGATGTGGGAACGGGGCAGCCTGATGGCCTCTAGGGGGCAGCCGTGGGAGCCGTGGGCACCCCAGAAGCTCAAGCTCTGGACTGTGGGGACACCAGACCTTGAGCAGAAACCCACTTCCCCTTCGGCCTGGGAGCAGGCATCTGTGTAATGTTTACTGAAAACAATTCAGTGCTTTAAAGCTCTTGATAGGGCTCAGATAAGGGCTTGCTCACTGAAATACCATGCCTTTCACACCCCCTACGGCTAGATGCCTCTTCCTGTCCCCCCTGTGGTGTCTCCCCAATTCTGGGGCCGGAGATTAAACCACCAGCCAGGAGGGTGAGAAGTCTGGAAAGAATGATATGTAGATGAATGGCAGAAGTCCTTAAAAAGGGAAGCTCCTTTTTCTTAGAGAGACTTCTCCTGAGACTTCTCTCTCCTAAGCGGACTTGGGAAGCATAAAGTTTTCTTAAAGCAACCGACCGGTCTCTGTGTCATCTATCCCGACCATCTCGCTACATTCTCAGATGCAGGCCGCACAGCAGGTGCGACACTGGACCAGGATGCTTTTCCTCCAGCTGCTGAGCAGGGTCTTGGATGTAAGTGCATGTGTGTGCATGTACAATGTTGTGTGTGAGAGTGAACATTTGCATGTAGAAGCCAGAGGTTGACATTGAGTATCATCCCCAACATATCTTTTGAGACAGGAGCTAGCTTGTCAGTAGCCGCTAGGATCCATCTGTCTCCACCTGTCTCCACTTCCCAAGCACTGGACTACAGGCGTGAAGCTGGTGCTGCGGGAGCTGAAGAGCTCAACTCAGGCCCTCTTGCCATTTTCCCAGCTCCAGATCTGTTGCGTTTAAAAAGTGTAAAAAGGTTGCAGCCCCAACTCTGCTGTTTTGGTAGGCAGAGGGATGGGAAGGAGGGGAGATTATGGCCCAGTAACCTTCAGTGGGATACGTCAGTGGCTCAGATACACAGCTGCATGCTAGGATTTCTTGGGAGGTTTAAACATTTTTTGATGCTTGGGCCCTACCCAGACCCAAGCACTTAGGGGGTATAGTTTGGGCATTAACATTTTTCCTTCCTTCTTTCCCTCCCAACATCCCTCCCACACTCCCTTCCTCCCTCCCATCCCTCCCTCCCTTCCTTCTTTTCTTTTGTATTTTTCCATGTGTGATATGGAATGCATATGTGTGTGTTCACACATGTGTGAGTGCATGTACATGTGTACATCAGAGGTTGACATCAGTGTCTTTCTCCATCAATCATTGTCTACCTTATATATGGGGGCAGAGTCTTTGACTTGTCTAGCTAGCCAGCTTGCTCTAGAGACTCCTCATCTCTGCCTCTCACTGGGATTACAGAAAGGCCCCATGTCCACCTGGCATTTGTCTGAGTTCTGGGGATGAATTCTAGTCCTCACGCTTGTACAGCAAGCCACTTGGCCTGATGAGCATCTGTACTGGCTGGCTGACACAAGCCGGAGTCATCAGAGAGGACGGAGCCTCAGTTGAGGACATGCCTCCATGAGATCCAACTATAAGGCATTTTCTCAATTAATTGATCAATGAGGGAGGGCCCAGCCCATGGTGGGTGATGCCATCCCTGGGGTGGTGGTCCTGGGTTCTATAAGAAAGCAGCTTAGCAAGCCATGAAGAACAAGCCAGCGAGCAGCACCCCTCCATGGCCTCTGCATCAGCTCCCGCTTTCGGGTTCCAGTCCTGTTTGAGTTCCTGTCCTGACTTCCTCCAAAGATGAACAGTGATCAGGAAGCGTAAGCCAAATGAGCCCGCTCCTCCCCCACTTGCTCTTTGGTCATTCTGTTTCATCATAGCACTAGAAACCCTGACTAAGACAGCATTTCCCTAGCCTGGCACCGGTATATTCTTCAAAGTCTAGTGAGTGTTCAGAGTCCACACCACTTCCCTAAGGACTGAGAAGGTACGGTGCCCGGTGACCTCTTGCCTACAGCACATGTGGGATGAAGCCGCACAAACTTCTGACTTCCCCTGCCAGCACCACCTTCCCATCTGTCTGTGGAAATATTAAACACCAAATTCATGGGAAATATTTATCTGCGTTTAAATTGTGATTTCGTGTTGTGTAAAGGGATTTGCTCCTTTGTAAATTAGATTATAAATTCCTTGAGAATAAGGATTTTATACTTGTAATAGCAGCATTCTAGAAAGCAGACAACCATGGAAATTCAGCCAGGTTTTTGCTCTAACCAGCACTGGCTCCATTTTTCTCATGGAAAGCCCAGAACTAACTAACTAGAGCTTTCTCTCTCTCTCTCTCTCTCTCTCTCTCTCTCTCTCTCTCTCTCTCTCTCTCTCTCTCTCTCTCTCTCTCTCTCTCTCTCTCTCTCCTCCCCTTCTTTTAAAAGATTTATTTGTTTTTTGTTTATATGACATATATATGTGTGCCATGTGTGTGACTGATGTCGGAGGTTGTCAGATGAGGACATCTGATCCCCTGGAACTGAGTTAAGATGGTTATGAGACACCATGTGGGAGATGGGAACTGAACCTAGGTCCTCTGTAAGAGCAACCAGTGCTCTTAACTGCTGAGCTATCTTTCCATCCCAAGGCCTAGGTCTTGACAAAGGTAAACCAGGTTCTTGGTGGTCCTCCCATCATCTCTGTGAGCTGTTCACTTCCCTCTGCCCACACTGGGCCCTTTGCTGATTCTAGAAGGTACGGGGCATGTGCTGAGCCTTAGAGCTGCCTACTCAACCCATGATGCCCCCTTGTAGCCCCCTGTGGGTCAGTGCCCTCTGCTCATGGCTACCTCAGTGGCGTATACCCTGCTTCCCTATTGACAGGTCTGCCTGGTGGAGGTCAGGCCTCTCAAATTTGAGTTGAGATTAGAGTTAATACTTGTCAGAGTCCTGTGCTGGTTGGAAGCCACCAAGGCCAGGGACCACAAATCACTATCTTTGTTACCCCTTGGACTCATGGCTTAGATCTTGGCCTGGTAGTAGTTTCACAGACAAAAAGAAACAAAAACATCAAACAGACAAAAACAAAAACAAAATAACAAAACCAAAGGCAATAGCAGAATGAACTGGAGATAACCACATCACAATTAGGTGAGAAGACCCAAGAGAACTAAGCAACTAAGCTCAGCCCACTGTCAGAACTTTGGGAATTAACAAGTCACTGTTTGGAAGCACCAAACGGTGGGTGCATAGCAGGGATAGTCAAAGCAGTATCTGAGATTTGCACGCATGCACGCAAGCGTACGCGCGCATACACACACACACACACACACACACACACTTTTTTTTTACCGTGCAAATTCAATGCCGAATGCTGTGCGGGTCTCTGTCCCTCCTCTCTGCTCTATGTGGCTGGCAGCTTCCACCACATCTTTCACAGATCTGTAGTCGTTGAGGTGGAACTCATGGACTGCATCTTCTCCGTACTGAACTATTCCGACCTGCAAACCAGAGCAGAGGGTAGCAGAACCCTGACACTCAGACCTGCATTAGTGAGAGTCCGCTCTCCAAGGAGTCCTTCCTAGAAGAGACCACAGGCCAAGGGAAACAGGCTGTTCTGGGAAAGAACAGATGGCTTGATGGGACAAATCAGGGGCACAGAGAGAAGGGACTTGGTGATGAGAGGGATGGCCCATCAAGTTGAACATCTTCCTTAAGAAGATGGAGAATGAACACAGACTAGGAGTCTAAAGCATCAGGAGCCGGGGTTGGGGAGAGACTCCAGTTGATAAAGTGCCTGCCGTGTGCAAGGAGAATTCGGATCCTCAGCACCCATTTAAAGCTGTGTGTGGTGGTATCTGCAGGGGCAGAAACTGGTGGATCCCTGGAGGTCTCTGGTCAGTTACCCCTGCTGAACCAGTGCAGGT